CAGTGATGCACTCAAAGTGCTGTATAGAACATGCTTCGTTCACCCATTCATACAAGTGCTTTTTTTCTATGCCCAAGTGCTTCCTAACATTTGTGCACAATCAAACTCTACCGAATCAAGGCATTGCAGAGCAAATTGGGGTTCAGTATCTTTCCCAAGGATACTTTGGCATGCAGGCTGGAGCAGCTGGGAACCACCAAATAGTGGATGGCCACCCTGTGTTCTAAGGAAACACAAATGATAGGGTACCAAAAGAGGAGTTGTGGTACTACATGAGGAAGTCAAGAGTGATAGAGAAGTATGTGAGGCTGGTACAGGACATGTTTGTGGACAGAGAGACACTGGAGGGGTGTGTGGTAGGGATGACAGATGGGGTAAATTCTGAGCCCCTTCTTGTTTTCAATTGTGATATACAGGTTGACAGATAAGGTCAAACAATGATGGCTTCAGCATATTGGACAGAGGAGGCATGAGTCTTAGTGGACTATGTTTCTAGACAACATTGTAATCTTAAGGGAGCAAGTGGAAGAGAGCCTGGAAAGAAGTGGAATGAAAAACAATTACATTTGCACAAATAAAAGGGGGATCTAAAAGTGTATGAGTTCAAATACCTTGGGTCAACCATCCAAAGCAATGGACAATGTGCAAGAGAGGTGAAGAAGAGAGTACAGACAGGGTGAAGTGGATGGGCACAAGTGTCAGGGGAGCAGTAGTGAAAGAGAAAGTTTACATGGTAGTCAGACCTGCTTTGATGTACTGTTTGGTGAAGGTGGCATTAGCAAAAAGACAGGGGTGGAGCCTATAGAATTCCAGTGGCTAACGAGTGACTAGGATGGACAAGATTTACAAAGAGTACATCAAAAGGGCAGCTCAGGTTGAGCAGTTGGAAGACAAGGCTGAGTCTGGGTTGGACGTACGGAGGGATAGTGGATACACTGAGCAAAAGATGTTAAATATAGAGCCAGTCATGAGAAAAAAGGAAGACCTCAGAGGAGGTTCATGGATGTAGTGAACAAAGACATGCATGGGGTTGGTGTAACAGAAGAAGATGAAAGAGATGAGCTGCTGTGGCAACGCCTAAATGGAGAAGCTAGATGATCTGCTGCACTACAGGTCATGTGGTTCACGATTGTTGCCTTCTTTCTGGAACCAAGCAGCACGGTTTCTCCCACTAAACACAAACTGGATTAGATTGCCTTGTAGTAAATAAATTGCCCATTGTTTTACTATTCAATTCCATCATCGCATTCATGCTTTGTAGTTGTAGCAGTTAATTTTTGTGAATGTGCTTGAAGAGGCTTCCTGTCTAAAATAATGATGGACTTTTAAAAAAAATCTTTACTTAGTTTAGCAACTACTTCCATAATGTAGATTGCAACAGTAGTTAAATAGGGGTGTTTAGGGCATACCAGCTTGTAGTCA